ACACCACAAACGGGTCACCTACATGTATGTTCAGGGCTAGTGCACTCGCACGCAGAATTATCATAATCGAGCATTTCCCAAACTGAGAAGTGCAAGGAAATCCACTTGCATGCACAGGAGCAATTTTGCCGCTGGTGTGATGCGCAATTCGAGACGATCTGCGATGCTGCGTGCTCACCTCTGATGCCGATTACTTCCTTGCTTAGACCGGCCCGGTCTGCTCTCCCTTCACTCTCTTGTAAATCCTACTTGGAGCAGTAAGGCTGTGTCACTGCTCCTACTGATAACCCAGTTAGGTTGTGGTCATTGTTGTGAAAGCAATATCATCGTCATTGTGGTAATAACATACGTTTTTGTACAGCGGCTGGCGCTAGAACGTGCAGCAAGCAGCACGCTTGTACTTCGGTTTTGCGATTTTTTCTAGGGCAATGGCTTCCTTTTTGCTTTGGCTACCTACGAAGTACGACCAAAAAATCCATGAGAAGTATTTTTGGAGCTGGAGTACGAGTGGGGTTGTCTGATAAGTGCTAAGAGAACCCTCCTTTGTGGCTGTAGAGCGCTAGAACGTGCCCTGTTGGCCGAAAAATCCGAATTTTTTCTCTCTCGGGGGACGCCCCCGGACCCCCCGTTGTACCACTCCCAACCACCCTGTGACGCCCCTGTCATTGTAGCTTACTTGCTGTCTTTCTTGGAGATGCAGTAGCAGCTGAGGACTTGCAATCTCAGTTTCAATACAGCGTTCGGCCCTTATTCCCAATCGAACACGGTTGAGTAAGCGGTCACTTGCTCATTTACAGCCTGTTTGGGCCCGTTTATGTCACTCGAGTTGAACCTTTGAACCAGGGAGTCGTAAAAGCCTCTTACGACTCCCTGCTTTGAACCTATGAGTTGAATCTTGCTGGGAAAATTGTACTCTGCAGGCACGGTGACCAGGCGACTGGTGTACGCCTGAGCATGTGACCGCTCACTCAACCGTGTTCAATTGGGAATAAGGGCCGAACGCTGCATCGCAGCCTTTTCGGACCAAAACCAGTCGACTCAGCGGCCACAAGACTACAACGTATGGACCAATCGCGGTCATCCGTGCTTTTATAAGAACGAAACGGCGTTTTTAGTGACTTTTTCCATACAAATCCCTATCTAGTAGGGCGCAGTCACCCAGTTTCCGTGGAAGTGTGCGAGATCGATTGGGAATAAAGGAGGAAGGGAGCGTCTCAGCGTCCTCGGACCAAGACCATTCGACTCAGCACCCCGAATACTACAACTGGTGAAAATTTGATTTTAGGGTATACTTCCCCTTTAAGCAAATCCACGCCAATAGTTATGTATGTCCCTGAAGATAGGCTACTGTAAATCGGAAAATTTCGGTGGAGATTTATTTTCGGTAACTTCGGTTTTACCCACACATCACACACGACAACTTACCTCCACGGTCGACAAGAGATCCCCAGGATCCCCCAGCTCCTCGGGACACGCCCTCACCATCGTCGTAGAAACGTTCAGCTCGGCCAGCAGCCGTCGCAAGCCATCAATCTCATACGAACTGAGACAGGCCATGTCCGAGAGCGGGCAGGATGGCGGTGATGGAGGTGGCTTGCCGCCTTGTGAGCTGTTCCCGTCTCCTGACGAAGCAGCAGCTGCCGCCGTCGCTGGCGACTGGGCTGCAGTGTCATTCGTTGACAGCAGTGGGATCTCGGCGCATGCGGGCGCCGGAGAGAGCTTCGCTGCGTCCGTATCTGTCAGCGATCAGACAATCAGAATATACAAGTCCGTAATTATTCCCGTAGCTATGCAGAAGACGTTACTTCAGTAACGTCTGGCGCTAGCCAGGGTCCACACAGCTTTAATTTGGTGTTTGTTTGTGTGTTTGTGTCACGCCTGGCGCTATCCCGTATCTGTCCCGTACCGTACCGTACCATCAAACACAGTTGGCCACATACAGCTGGCCGCACTATTCAAATAGGGCTTTCAAATGCAAGATCATAACGTGAAGCAACTTGGAAGAATGAGTATGAATGCGAAGTGTATGGGGGAATGCATGTAGGGCGATAGTGCGGGTTCGAATCCCAGGTAATGCCTGAAAAATAGGAGAATTGAAAAAATTATAACATCCCTATTCTTTTTTTGCCGTCATCAAGGCGGTAGATGGTGTCGTATTACCCTCGACCGTACCTGTCCCGTACCTGTCCCGTACGGTACCGTACAATCACAGACGGCTGGCCACAATGCATATTCAAATAGGGCTTTCAAATACAAGATCATAACGTGAAGCAACTTGGAAGAACTAGTATGTATGCGAAGTGTATCGGGGGATGCATGCAGGGCGATAGTGCGGGTTCGAATCCCAGGTTATGTCTAAAAACAAAAAGTAGAAATTTATAAGAATTTATAACATCCCTATGCTTTTTTGTCTAGGTCATCAAGGCCAAAAAGCATAGCGTAGGGCCCTGAGCTTCCAAGCTCTCTCGTTTAGGCATAGGATACCTACCACATGAGCTGCGAGAAGAAGGGAAAGCGGAACTTCTGCAGTACCTGCACGATAAGACACAGAGGGAGTCATAGTGGAACAAAGTGAAGTAGCGAGAGAGAGAGAGAGAGAGAGAGAGAGAGAGAGAGAGAGAGAGAGAGAGAGAGAGAGAGAGAGAGAGAGAGAGAGAGAGAGAGAGAGAGAGAGAGAGAGAGAGAGAGAGAGAGAGAGAGAGAGAGAGAGAGAGAGAGAGAGAGAGAGAGAGAGAGAGAGAGAGAGAGAGAGAGAGAGAAGAGAGAGAGAGAAAGAGAGAGAGAGAGAAAGAGAGAGAGAGTGAGAGTGAGAGAGAGAGAGAGAGAGAGAGAGAGAGAGAGAGAGAGAGAGAGAGAGAGGAGGGAGAGGGAGAGGGACAGGGAGAGGGAGAGAGAGAGAGAGAGAGAGAGAGAGAGAGAGAGAGAGAGAGAGAGAGAGAGAGAGAGACACACACACACACACACAGACAGAGACAGAGGCAGACAGAGACAGAGACACATACACACAAAGTTCCACGGCAACATCGATGAACGACGTAGGAGCATAACAAAACAGAAACCTTCATGCACAACTCCAAGCCTTGGAAAGCTCACACGTCAGGCGAAATAGCACGTCATAGTACATTTGAGATCAGCAGGAAGAAGATGACGACGTCCACTAATTTTGTATCTGTGCACACGAATCTGCTGTGTGTGCGACTCTGTGTGTCAGCTATGATATCCTTTTCTGTGGTTCCATGCCTAGCATGTACGTCTGAACCATCCTGCAAAGTTTAAATGACGTAGGTTGAGCGATCGCTCCGCGAAACATACTTTTTGAAATTCTCTTCATAGTATATCTTCCACCATTGAAATTTCGAATTTCTTCAAAAAAAGCGCTGAGAGGGGTGGCTTGCAACCTCGATATGGCTTGTTCCAGGCATGCTTTGGAGCCATCTTCTGTTGAAGTAGTGGCGGGGATCTGCCCTGCAACTGCTACAACAAAAAATGATTCGATGTGAGAAAGGGTTAGACCGCGAATCTCGCTTGAATATTGAGTATTTCAAGTCTTTTCACGACGAAGATGGAGTTCTTTTTGGAGATGGACGTCACGGCAAAGGACATGGTGTCCGACTTCTGGCGTCTGGTGAAGCCAGGGATCATTTGTCCAGTCAGGTCGGCAGCCTAACCGCCGGTAAGCGTGTGCTTGGATCCCGTTCTGCTCGATGTGGTAGATCACAAACAATTTGATATCGCACAAATTGATCTCAGCATCGTGCGTACGTTATTTTATATTCAGAAAATCCCAAAGTGTCTCTGTGTGGCCGTCCTATGCCACGAGAAACTCCAATCAGGCTCCTATGTCCTCTGCCTTCATGATTGAATGTCCACTTCGTTTGAACAACGAACACAACAATCGAGGACGGCTTTGCAATGAAAAATACAGCTATACTGGAGCTGAAAAAAGGAAGAAAAAAATGTGCTCAGGATGAGACTCGAGTACATGCATACTCTCCCAGAAGGTGAAACGCAATTTTTTTGTGAAAAATGCGTGTCGCTGAGTGACCAGTAATTTCGCCTGACGCAAGGCATTGCCGTGGTAGAGTTGTAGAAGATATCACAGACATGCACACCACAGCTCACGTACCGCAGTCGTTTCTTCAATGTCCGCCACGGCAAGCTGACCTCTTATGTTGAAACTGTGTGTTTCCACCAAACACTAGCGAAACCACAGGAGTGTGAACTGCATGAATCCAGGCTGTCAACGAACAAACATACACACACACACACACACATACACACACACGCACGCACACAACCACACACACACATCCACACGCGTGTATACATGCACACTTGTACACACACATACATGCACACACACATCATGTACCATTTATACGCCCGTCGCAAGAGAAGCACGCAAATCTGCAAATACACTGGATGTGCACCCACAGATTTTCTCTTTATAGCAACGATAGCGGATCTGATTCTGATTGAAACAGATCAAGACAAGCGCCAGATAACTGTCTAATCCACACAACTGGCGAAGCCATGTGAATCGACCCCCCAATGCACACCTGGTCTACACCACACGGAGTACATCGGAATAGGACGGCCAAGACAGTTACCTATGCACACCCTACACTTGCTGGGGTAACCAGTATAGACAGCACGCTGCTTTGATAAAAGCAGACACTAGATGCACTGGTACCTTGAAGTGAAATTGGAGTTATTCTACCAACCAGCCTCGGCAACTGGGTACTGGGAACCCAGGGCCAACAGACGTACCAACAACCTCAGCCATGAAAGCTATAATAACAACACACTGGATTGTGGAGCCGAAACTAGTCAAACTTCCAAAATGCTTTGGCAAGACACACACACACACACACATACACACATTACACCTTCAAGCAGCCGAGCCTGTTGGCAACAGACCCAACACAATCAGGCATAAGTGCACCCACCAACCAAACTAGCTGGCACATACATACACACACTTACTCACACTCACTCACCAGTAGGAATGACAAAAGTCCAGCCTGGTTTCAATTCGACGCGGGCACACGTCTCGACCATGTCACCCAGGAAGATATCCTGCTGTTTACCGGACAACACCCACTGCTCATAGAGCTGAAGATTGATTGGGGTCGGAGGAATCAGCCAGAAAACCTGCAGTGCACAACAAACACACGCCCCCCCCCCCCCCCCCGCACACACACACGCACACACACACACACACACACACACACACACACACACACACACACACACACACACACACACACACACAAACACACACACACACACACACACACACACACACACACACACAAACACACACACACACACACACACACACACACACACACACACACACACACACACACAGACGGCCGCATTGTAAACAGTAGAGTTAGTCACACCTTTTTACACTGAACCTCAACGGCAAAGAAGGGTTAGAGCACCGCTGCCCTCAAGTGAAGGCCCCTGGCTCGAGTCCTGGTGGCGCCAGTCAATTTTTTCTTCAGACGTTTTCCCGTTTGCATCTTTCCCTCAACCAATGAACAGGTATTGAAGGTGGTGTGACTTACAATCGAGCGTGACTTCTTCCTACGTAGTATGTGAATGTACTGTATTGAAACAACTTGGATCAGACCTGTTGCGACTTATCATCAACATGGGCGTAGGAACCGGTCCGGCAGGCGGTCGCCGGACCAATAATTTTCGATTTTTTTACATTTCAACCTTGTTGATGGCTTGTCGACTCTTGTACAGGTACCATGTTTTACATCGACAATGCGGTGTATCATTAGCATTCATATTCTTATTTCTCATAATTATTCTGTAGCATCAAAATATGGCCTTTTAGGCCGAATTTTGAAAAAATATTCCGGACCCCCTCTCACAATTTTGCCGCACCAATATTAAAGGGGAAGTTAAGGCAAAAATTAAAATTTCACCAGTTGTAGTCTTCGGGGTGCTGAGTCGAATGGTCTTGGTCCGAGGAAGCTGAGACGCTCCCTTCCTACTTGAATCCCAATCGAACTCGCGCACTTCCACCGAAACTGGGTGACTGCGCCCTACTAGATGGGGATTTGTATGCAAAATGTCACTAAAAGCGCCATTTCGTTCTTATAAAAGCACGGATGACCGCGATTGGTCCATATGTTGTAGTCTTTTGGACGCTGAGTCGACTGGTTTTGGTCCGAGAAGGCTGCGATGCAGCGTTCCTCCTTTATTCCCAATCGAACATGGTTGAAGAAGCGGTCACGTGGTCCTGGGTGCCCAAATCACCTGGTCACCACGCCAGCAGGTGACAACTTTCACACCAAGGTTCAACTCGAGTTCAACTCGAGTGACAGGACAGCACCCAAAAAAGGTCAACCAGGCTAGTAAGTTGTACCCTGCAGGCACGCCGCTGGCACGGTGACCAGGTGACTGGTGTACGCAGGAGCACGTGACCGCTTCTTCAACCATGTTCGATTGGGAATAAAGGAGGAACGCCGCATCGCAGCCTTTTCGGACCAAAACCAGTCAACTCAGCGTCCAAAAGACTACAACATATGGGCCAATCGCGGTCATCCGTGCTTTTATAAGAACGAAATGGCGCTTTTAGTGAGATTTTGCATACAAATCCCCATCTAGTAGGGCGCAGTCACCCAGTTTCGGTGGAAGTGCGCGAGTTCGATTGGGATTCAAGTAAGAAGGGAGCGTCTCAGCTTCCTCGGACCACGACCATTCGACTCAGCACCCCGAAGACTACAACTGGTGAAATTTTAATTTTTGCCTTAACTTCCCCTTTAAACTGCTTCCTACGCCCCTGATCAAGTGCGACTTCTAATCAGTGAAATGCTGTACACTTAAGCCAACGCCAGCTTTCTTCTTCTCATTCCACTTCCTTCTCAGGTTCTGCTACAAGACACATTCGTGATTATAAGGAGCTTGTCAGTCAGAAGGATGGACAGAGAGGTAAATATACATACAAGTGCGGATGGATGATGGGTAGAGAAACAGACAGACAGACAGACAGACAGACAGACAGACAGATAAACAGACAGACAGACAAACAGACATACAGATAAACAGACATACATACAGACAGACAGACAGACAGACAGACAGACAGACAGATGTATGTCTGTATCTACACCCATCGTCCATCTATATACTGTGTGCAGGTGTGTGACAAAAAAACAGACAGGCGTGCAGACAAACAGACAAGGAATGCTGACCTTTCCACCCTTGAGAATGTGATACCAGACGGATGTGCCACCAAAGTCGATACGGAAATCTGTGTAGCAGCCACCGACGCTCATCAGGCAGTACCTGTGACAGCACGGCATCACCACAAGCAACAGCAGTAGACCAGCAACAACAACAGCAGCTCCATCAGTAAGCCAGCAACAGCAACAGCACAAGTAACAGCAGTAGACCAGCAACAGCAACAGCCACACAATCAGTAAGCCAACAACAACAGTAGACCAGCAACAGCAGCGCCAGCACAACCACCAGCAGTAGGGCAGCCAGCAACAGCAACAGCAGCACAATCAGTAAGCCAACAACAGCAGCAGCACCACAAGCACCAGCAATAGGGCAGCTACACCTTTAGTACTATCAACAGTACCAGCAGTCGGCCAGTAACAGCAACACCGGCGGCAGCAGCAGCAGCAGCAGCAGCACCATCAACAAGAACAAACAAAACACATACTTTTGCACTTTGGGATATTTCATGTCGACCAGTCGGTTGGTGGCCTCCTGCTGCAAAGCGCGCAATGTTTCCGGCCACACCAAGTCCACCCAATCCAAATGACGTACCTGCGTACAACAACAACAACAACAACAACAACAACAGCAACAGCAGCCGCAGCAAGCAAGCAGTAGGAAGAAGAAAAGACAAATGAGCAATTCGTACACGATTGCGAATACATACTATACAGCTTGTGATGGGGCATTGATAAACCAATATAAACACATTGCACAAACCAATCAGGAGTTAAAAATCCATACTTTCTCGAAACGAGCCTAAGCATGATCATGTATGACATGAGCCTCAAACGCCCACCAAACCCCCAACACGGCATACAGGGGAGACAGTAGTGCAGTGGAGTGCTCAACTACAGTGCACTCATTTCTCACGACTCCTATCCGGACCTCCAAGTTACGGGCATCTTGGTCTACGGGGAACCCTGTGAGTGAGTTTTAGTGGATATATTACTACTTTTCTAGCAATTTGTGGAAATACCAGGAGTGACGTAATATGCCAGATCTACGTGCCTTCCACATCAAGATGTACATGATTACGAACATTTCCAAATGAAGGGCAGAGCCCCCGGTCCCGGACCGCCCGGATACAACAGATAAGAGTGTACTACATGTAACGTTACATGCATAGGATTGATTGATTGCAGCCTATATCAATCATATCTTCTGAAAATTGTAGTCCAAGTTGCTGTCTGATGATCGCTTAAAACCGTGAAACTCAGAGTTACAGCAGAAACGCTTTTGATCCTCTCAAGTGTATGTAGGATTGCTGACGTACCAGACTGGGTGACTCCACTAGAGGCTCCAACTTAGTCTTGGTGAACTCCAGGCTAATGACGTTGTAGAGTTTGTCGCGTTTCGCATTCGTGTAGTACCTGCACAAGAGAGTACATGGCGTGTGCCATGTACACACACACACGCACACACACGCACGCGTACACACACACAAACACACACACACACACACACACACACAATGTAGCTCCACGTGTCTTGGAACCTAAGAAAACACCCAAAAGACACCATGCCACCAAGACTTGCACTGAAAGGCTTACTTTGTAAAGTTTGCCATGCTCATGGTGGAGCCTTGTTGTGAGGACACATCCATGATGTCAATAGTACGCCCACGCCTGCCCATCACCCAAAGACCCCCTAGCGATCTCACTGGCCCATCGCCCGCCATCCTCCTGGCACCTCCACCCATCTGCTGGACACTGCCTCCCCATCGCCTCTTTCCGCGCTTTCATGCTCATACCTGCCTGTTGTCCGCCACCCTCCTGGCACTTCTACTGTCGCGCCGTGGCCCGCCAGCTGTTCTCCACATACCTTACACCAGATTTAGCGCTAAATTTGTTTATGCTTGTGGCCCTATGTATTTATAAGCATACTGACTCACCGTTGGGTAGACCCGAGTATCAGTTGTCTGATGATTGCCTAACGGCATGAAACTCAAGAGTTACAACCAACCTGAACGTCCTCCGCTGAGTCTGCTATGATTTGAAAACTCCGTATGGCGGAACCCAGATGCGCATGCAGTTTCCGTAAGACTTTCCGTAGATCGACTACATTTTTTTAACTAACGTAACTACATTATGCGCAACCTCTCTAATAAAGTACAGTGAGTGCTGGAAAATACTTCCACAACTGTGGACAGTCGGTTATAGGCGATTCACACGACAGCCACTTGCACGTTTTACGGCGAGTGATTTACGAGAAAAGTGACTGTGTGGATTCACATGGCTGCACTCAACAGCGGGCACGTTTGCATTTTTGAATGATTCACCCACCAGTTGCCATGAGTATTTCAAATTTCCAAAACACGTGTCCAATAATTATCATGGTGAAAAGAGCCGCGTAAAAAATCAAGTCTTGTTTTGCGCTTTTTGGTGTAAATGTAGTTTACTGCTTGCCGCAGATCTGCAGAGTGGCTGAGGGCTAGACCCACAGGACACTTCTGATCATAACTTACTAGACCTAGTCTTTCTTAAACTTGCATTCAGTTTCGGCGGGGACAATACCCCCGACACACGACCAACAAAATCTTTAACTGTCTTTGACGCCATCACAATATCTGTGCAAACACGGCCTAACGGACAAAGTCAAACAAGCCGTGACCTGATGTTGACACAGCCTGGTCAGTATGGAGCTTGCATGTCGAGTCTGCAGTTAAGGAATTCATACCTCAAAAGTTGAAGCGAAATAACCTGAACAACAAACTGTGGTAAAATGCAGGAAAATCAATAAATTAAAAAAATGTCACGTTCGGAAATTTTATTGGGTGGTCATCCCGTTTGACTGTGCGAAGTAAAATTAAAACAACCAAATGGTTGGGTTGATCTGCACTGTGCAACCGATTCTCTCACCTTTCTTCCTCCAGCTATGCCTGTGACACCCTTTGTGAATCTGCGAAACACTAGTGGCAGGCCACGCGAAAATGAGAATGCGCGCAGCCAAGTTTAGGCCATCATCTCCTTCATCCATCATCCCGGCGGTAACTCCGCCCGTTCAATATCCAACACCAGTCCCCAGGAAAGAATAAGGCACGAGATTTCAAGTTCAAGGGCAAAGCTAAAGCCAATGGCACTGATTTTTGGAATTGTCGAGCAGAACGAAAATAAATAATCGAAGGCGATCATAATACGGAGGATTAAGCGGGATTCACAGAAGCTTTTTTGCGATGCGACACGCGATGCGACAGACGCGAAACCGGGAAAACCCCAAATCGCAGCCATGTCGCACCCCACGCAACTGCCGCAACTGGGCCATCGCAGGCCATCGCAGAAGTTGAGCTTGGCTCAACTTTTGCGATGCGATGCGATGCGACAAGCGATTTGGTGTACGATTTTGACCTTTTCTACAGCAAAGTTGTACAAAGGTGCAAGAGTTGCCTATAAATTTTTTCAAGTTGTGTCAAACCGCGCGAATATCATGGTGGCGTACCCAAATCAGCAAAACTTTGTCGCATCGCTGACTTCTTCTGTGAATGGTATTTCGCGAGTTCGCATCGCACGCGTCCGTCGCAGATCGCGTCGCATCGCGTGTCGCATCGCAAAAAAGCTTCTGTGAATCCCGCTAAGACGAAATTCGCGTTCGCGTTCGCTCTCCAAAGAAAGTCGAACTCAGTGACGGAATTCGCGTTATGAGAAGGATTAGCAAACAGAATTCGCACATGCATGATGTAACAAATTGTTGACACGACGTAGGCAGTACAGCGTGGTAAATTTATGACTGCCCTGACACGAATCCACGATTCGTGTTCCGACTACTTTTCCGAACGAAAAATGCGAAAGTTCGCAATCCAGTTCGCGAACTGAAAAATAGAGAGGTTAAGTTACACGTTTTTTGCCCTTTTTCAAAACGCGGTGCAAATCTCACGTTACGTGTAATTTTTAGAGGTTAAGTTACACGTGCGACGTGACGTGAAATTTTGCCTGGCAGGATTCGGGTTTAGTTCGCACAAATATCAAATCTTCCAACAAACTTGATAAATCTCGATAAAATTCCGGAAACTCACACAAATTCGGTCGGGATAACCAAGCGAAACTTCCAAAAACTCACGTCATGAACTTACGTGCGGGACAGTCAACTCACGTAAAACACGTCAAATTTTACGTGAGTTTTTTCACTTTTTGACGTAAAAGTTCACGGACGTAAGACTTTTACGTGAAACTTAACCTCTCTAATGTTTGCGAACGCGAACGCGAATAGACCGATCCCCTTATTAGGCCGCGGTCACACATGAAAAGCTTGCACCGCTTTTGCGGAGGCGGAAAGCGGAACTACCGCAGCCGCTTTGGCGGACCACACGATGCAGCGGTCACACATACATGTAGACTACTGTGCTCCTCAACGCTCCGCTTTGGCGGAGAGAATGCAAATGCAGCACGTCCTATGAAATTTTAGATGTTCTTGTCCGAGTTGAAGCGACCTTCGCTTGTACAAGTAGAGCTATCGTGGATCGCTGACAGGCTAGGCTGCTGAATGTCTCCTGTCAAGTACACTCGTGGATTTTGGGGCGCATTCACTGCGGCCCAGTACAGGTGTATTTTGAATATTACTAGTTTGGTTTACATCAATATCAAATTCAAATAGTTGTATAGTAGGGTGTCGTTGCCTCCTTCTTGTCCGAGTTGAAGCGACCTTCGCTTGTACAAGTAGAGCTATCGTGGATCGCTGACAGGCTGCTGAATGTCTCCTGTCAAGTACACTCGTGGATTTGGGGCACATTCACTGCGGCCCAGCACGGGTGTATTTGAATATTAGTTTAGTTTACATCAATATCAAATTCAAATTGTTTTATAGCAGGGTGTCGTTGCTTCCTCCATGATCCATCATCGACCCAGCGACTGCGTGGATGCCTGCAGTTGCAGTGAGGGTGTGGCAGAGTACTCTACTACTCCCTGGTTGCAGTCCTAGTGTTGCATACTCTGGTGGACGTATTGCTTGGAGAGAGTTGGAGATCGTCCGCTATCGGGGCCAATGAGTTGGGAGACGGATTCCCTCACCAATTATCCACTCATAGCGATGCAGTATTGTTTGCGAGATCTCCAGAACGTACAGTTCATTGGCAAAGAAGAACAATATGAAAACTGAATACCAAACGGCAACAAAACAACACCAGAACTCAGTGCAGAAGTAGCACACCAAACTCCAAAGCCATCACCATGCAGGTTCCGCCAAAGCGGATCCGCGAAAGCGGAGGGTCCGCTCGCATTTTTTTGGCGTAGCGAAATCCAAACTTTCCGCCAAAGCGTAACTTACGCCTCCGCCGTTGCCGAGGCAACGGCGGAAGCGTAAGTTACGCTTTGGCGGAACCGCCAAAAAAAGTGCATGTGTGACCGAGGCCTTATTGTCTGGGTTCGAGCAAGGGGGCAACTCCGCAGTCGCGTGGGATCCTGCTGCACACACGCGACCAACCTCACCTCGGCTGTGCGCGACTTCTCGCATGCGAAGTGCAGAGCACGCGAAATCTACATGCAGTGCAAGCCTGTCTACAAAAATGTCACAAGGACTTTTGATTTGAGCTGTTTTGTTTTTGTTTAGACGTCTTCCTTTTACGACTTCAGGATGCCTTCTCAGGATCATTGCTGCGTTCCTCACTGTCAGAACAGGAGGGCGAAGCAAACAAGTCTTTTCACTCCTTTCCTCGTGTGGAGCCACAGCGGCCTGGAGCGAGCGGATCCAGGCTATGCCCCGTGAGGAAGGACGTAGTTTTAGGGTCACTCTGAATATTTGAGTTGCAGCGATCATTTCGATCCCGAAATCGAAATCGTTTTGCCCAGCTCTACAAGAGCAGGATGAGTCCAGGAACCCAAACAGCTGTCCTACGGTACCAGGTTTGCTTTTCGCAAGAGAGCGGAGTCTGGACGCCCTGCTCCCCATGCTCGCAAAACAGTATTTGCTGAGCCTAGTGCAGTTCGGTCATGGAAGTGCAGCGTCTGCATCACGAGCTCCCCATGCTCCCAAACCAGTATTTTGCTGAGAGGCAACGGTACTTTGAGTTGGAAAGGAACCTGGCTTAGTGCAGTTTGGTCCTGTAATGGAAGTGCAGCATCTGCATCAGGAGCTGGCAGCAAGTAGAGCTCGTGTACAGAGTCTCGTGGAGCAGTTGGACGATGTGAGGACTGGGGTGAAGAAAGCCGAAAAACAGCTTACGTACAATAACATAAAGAAAGACTCTGAGCCGCTCCAGTTTCTGACTGGTTTGCCTTCAGGTGTTTGGACCGCTCTGTGGGACTTCTTTGAGCCTAGCCGAGAAAATGTACTGCGCCGAGCCAGATCTGCGAAGACGGAAGCTGAGGGACGGCGGATACAGTTGGAGGTGGCCGTAAATCGCCAATGAGCATGTAATGGAGGATCAGCTGCTATTGGCATTGACGTGTCTAAGCCTGGGCCGAATGGAACAGAAGCTGGCATGCGTGGCACAAGTTAATCATCCGTTTCACGGTATATAGCTAGCTGAGCTGGAAAGATGTCTTGTTCCTCCGTTTGGGCATGATCCCCATTTGGGCGAGCTGGCGAGATGTTCAGTCATCAATGCCATGTACCGCAAGACATTCTGCATTGTGGATGAAACAGTTCTATTTTGCCATGCACTTCAGGTTCTCGCACCGGCACGGCACAACAAGACCCAACAGATCCTTGCGCTCTTATTTTCTCCCATGGTAACATTGCTGATCACAACACCCGGTAGCCAGTCGCAGATGCAACCAAATCAACCAGGTTCTCTTACTCTTTTTTTCCAATACTGAAACCAAGGTATACCAATATTTGCATCGAATGCAGTGATGATTTCAATACTGTCCACCAGTACAACGCATTACCAGACTGGCATATAATCATGATATTATCCATTTCGCTATCACTGTCATTGCTTTCTTAGATCTCCAATCATCAATATCGGACCATAAACCGTCTATCATCTTATAGTATATCATCATTAATATCCTGCTACTATCCTCCTCTAACGATGAGCTCGAAGAAACGAAACAGCTGTCTAGAGGCGTAAACAATATCTGTCAACGGAAGTGTCCTTGCTGTGCTGGTGTGTTTATGCTTCGTGCATTAGTTCGGCCAAGAGCGCATGGTGGTGGCGGGTTGAGGATGTAGTACAGCGGAGTATGACCGAAAGCTCTGTCACAATGTATTTTATTAGGAAGGTATAGAAAACAGTACGAAGACTGTGGGGAGCAAACCCTTTCTTAAGGTATAGAAACAGAAAAAAACTATCTTGATCCTGGGCGTAAACAGCCCGTCTCACATTAAATATACTAGAAAATAGCTCACTCTGAACATGCGGGGGGTATATTCATAGGTTCGAAAGAACCGCACACACACTTTGCTGCAGACAGCGGCAAGCTTTGGCCCTCGTACTTCGAAGAGGGAGCAATCCACTGCGCTACGCTTGCGATTAACAGCAAGCTTCGACCTTTCAAAGGTACGACTCATCACTGGCTCTGGGGTAATGTTCCTGGAACAAATGCCCCATTGCCGACTGAGGGCCAGGGAGCACGCAATCTGCCTTCCTGGGCGAGAAGTGTTCCAGCACAAGAAGCAGCACGAATACATGCTGACAAAGGCCACCAGCCGGCACACAGCACACTGTTCTTCAAACACCATCCACTCCTTCCATGTGTTTACACTGTCCTCCTCTAGCTCTTCACGCTCAACAAATACCACGCACTGCTCATCGTCTTTTTTAATGCTTCCTCTGGGTTGGCTAGCCCTTCGACTTGACAAAACAGCGATCACCACTGCTATCGTCACCTCATAGCAGTCGCTTCCACCAGTGGCTTTTCCTGTCTTTGCAAGGTGTCCAAGGATGGCTGCTTTTGTCACTACAGGCAAATCAGAAGTACTTTAGTGGCTGATGTCCAACCAGATCGTTGGAAAATCGATTTTTCCACTTCAGGGCTGCTGATCGCGATCGCGACTTGGTGACTTGGCAGCACCACGGTTACCTTCATAGAAGATGGCTCTGGAGAGGAAAAGGCAGACCAGAAAAAGGTTACTATTATCTTCAGCACCGATCTCAAGGAGAAAGAAATACGGTCTGCTGTAGCCTAACGTTAGGCGCAAAATAAGTCTCACAACACGATTCGCGATTCGAATATTTCAACAACAACAAAACTCACCTCTGGAGTAACTCCTGTTTGTGGCCCGAGATCGTTCCCTCCCGCGACTTGAAAAAATCCTGCAGCTGCATCACAGTCCATGTCTCTCTCGGAGACTCTGCTCCTACCAGCAGGAGGTTCAGCACCGCTCGAAGCCATCGCAAACCACTTGAACTAAGCAGAAGACATTCCAAAACAAACCTGAAACACACTGTCAAAGATGCTGTCACGTTCAAAAACTAGCTCGATCGCGAGTGAGGTTGCCCCCGTGCTCGAACCCAGTATAATAAGGGGATCGGTCTATTTCGTCTTGCTAATCCTCCGTAATGACGGTCAGATTCGACATACACGTGACACAGTTTGGGTCGCGCTCGTGTGTCGCGCCTCGCATTTGCTGCTCCAGCGCGCCCATAATTATGGCCATGATGAGTCTCACGCGCGCGCGACATGAGGCTAGCCGCTTGCGACAAAAGTTGTCTTTTTTTACGAATTCTGTGACGTCATGTTTTGGAAGAATGCAACAGTCATTCGCATTTCGAAACGGTTACCAGTTACGGGGGTAGGGGGGTAGCGCCCTTTTCGAATAGAAAAATGACAGTTCGCACATTTTCTGGAAGTGTATACAATCTACTACGCCGTGTACGGTGCTAGATCCCTTCACTTCAGCAACTGAGTGTGTTTAGGTATAGTAGATCACAGGTTGTGTTTGCAGATCAGCTAACCCTTACACTGCATGCTACTCAGAGGTGTCAAATGTCACACCAGCAGCCTGATCAAACTGTGTACATGGTGTACCTGGCCAGCTTTTACAGCAGTACATTTATATGCAGTTGTTGTGGAGGAACTATGTTTGTGTGCGTGTACATGTCATTGATTGTACTTGTACTCAGTAACACATGGTAAATGCGGTACTACTGTATTCCATTCACTACCGCTCTAGCAAACACATTCATATCCATGTACATGTACATAAGCATACCATAATAATAATAATGAAATGGCAATAAGGGGCCATCCGTAAATATCGAACATTTTTCACCAAACGAATTATTTTAGTTTAGACCCAACCCCTCCCTCCCTCCCCCTCAGAACGTAAAAAATGTTGAGATATACGTGCGTATACAACAAAAGTCGCAAGTGTGTCACTGCTCCTGAAGACATGCACATGTATCGAACTTTTCTGAAACGAAATTGGTCAACCCCCTCCCACCCCATAACGAAATTATTTCGTTTCGTGAAAAAAGTTCGATAATTATGGACGACCCCTAAATAAGATAAATTGCGCACTCATAACAACAGCAAAAAATGAAGAAAGTCAAGTTCCATAACGTTTTCTTGTGACTGTCCTCAGTGTAACGCCGTCACATAAAAATGTAATAACTAAAACACACACTTATACATGTAGCTAATATGGTTTCAGGTAGAAATACAGCAGCCAGCAAGTACAAAAAAGCGAAGTTTGCACCCCTGTGCTATGTAAACAGAAAGAATACGTTGTATCACTCACACTCTTCAAGTAATACACACGCACCATACATTCACTCACACAGTATCACACTCATCTGCCACTACCTTTCTCACATACACTATTTTTTATTATCACTCCCTTAGTATTGACTCACATAGATTTTGCCATACCTAAGCAGTCAAATATTCCTGCATATTTTAATCCTTAGGGCTATATTGACCGCTTATATTTGACTCCTTTTTAGCGATTGAACACATGCTTTGGTTAGTCGTGATAAATCTAATATTGACTTCGTACTTGGTGTAGTATCCCTGCCCGACCAATACGGAAGTAGTACGGAACTAATGCGGAGCTTTGCCTGATGTATATTTAGTGTATCTCCGTATGTAAGCGTACGGCGTCTGCTGCATAAAAGCGGCTGCGCATTTCTGTTTTGAAGAAGATAAGATTTTGATAATAACGAGCTATTCAACCTCCAGGTGTGCACCGGAGAGAAAGTCAGTTATTTTGCCGCTTCTTCTTTCACTAATAATTATATCTCAGGTGTGTACCTGAAAGTAGAATAAAAGTAATTCGTGTTAATTGCACCGCGCCTACCACTCGGCTACCCACTACATTGGTGGCAGCGGTGTAGTTTTAAATAAAACAACGTGATTCGACCCCAGACCCCCATGGCTCAACCCGCTGCAGCTCCGTGCGACGTATTAAGATGAGAATCATGTTTTTTGCCTTCCTGGGCTTGGCCCTGCTTATTAGCTTGCAGCACAGTCAAGGTGCTAGCGTGGATCACCCTTCCCTCCGCATGGCATCCACTGGAGACTCCGATGGCGATTCCAAGCGACCCGCTACCTACATGTATACTACCGGTGGTGATGGCGAAGCTGATGAGGACGACGACATGCAGGCTGCTGACCAAGACAAGGCGGGTATTCCCCAAGACCAGCAGCGTTTGATTTTCGCCGGCACGCAGTTGGCAGACGGCCAAACCCTGAGTGACTACAACGTTCAGCAGGGGTCCACTATTAACTTGGTACTTCACCTCCGTGGTGGAATGCAGATTTTCGTCAACACTCTTCCTGGCTAGACCATCACTCTTTACGTCGCGCAAAGCGATGCTATCGACAATGTGAAGACCATGATTCAAGACGAGGAGGGAGGTTATTTGTCTGACGCCGAGCTAGCCGCTCTGAGTCACCGGCTCAACCAAGATGAAGATAAAACCTGGCTTGCCCTCCGCCGTAGCTCCAGCCGCCGCCATGGTTACTAACGCTAATTCTAGGTATGGCATTTTCTTTCCTCTCTTCCTTCAGTCTCCCTGTTCTTTTCAGTCTTCCTTTATGCGAGTGTGTGAATCCAGTTTAGTTTGGTAGGCGTCTGATCATGGTGAGCCACGGTTTACCCAGCTAACGTGGGACAATGTGTGTGACAACGCCCCTTATAGTTATAGTGTATTCAGTTCGGTTTTTGAACTGCGATGTTCCTGGCAGGTTGTGCCAGCGTTGTGCAGCAAGAGTGCTGTAGTTTTTCAGGTCCTATTTGGAGGACAGTTCTTTCCCCTTTTGACCCCGGTGAGATCGTGTGAACCTGGTGTGCTTCTACTTTATGATTTGTTATCAGTTCATTTCTTCTGTCTACTCTAAACGTTATCATTTCCGATATAATTTGCCATCTTCCGGTTGACGCTGTGTTCGTAACTCTTCACTAATTTTTTGAAAATCACGAGGGCGTGATAATCTGTAGGAAGGGAGGGTGTAGTATCCCTGCCCGACCAATACGGAAGTAGTACGGAACTAATACGGAGCTTTGCCTGATGTATATTTAGTGTATCTCCGTATGTAAGCGTACGGCGTCTGCTGCATAAAAGCGGCTGCGCATTTCTGTTTTGAAGAAGATAAGATTTTGATAATAACGAGCTATTCAACCTCTAGGTGTGCACCGGAGAGAAAGTCAGTTATTTTGCCGCTTCTTCTTTCACTAATAATTATATCTCAGGTGTGTACCTGAAAGTAGAATAAAAGTAATTCGTGTTAATTGCACCGCGCCTACCACTCGGCTACCCATTACACTTGGTCAGTATAGGAAATAAAAGACCTCGTAAAAAACCTCGGTCATGCCATGCCATGTCATGCCATGCCTCGGTCTCGGCATGGCGCTGTGGCAGCAGCAAGTGGACGGGCGGTGGCGTCTAGTGCAATGTGCTTCACGGCACGTCACTGAGACCGAGGCCAGGTACTCTGCAACGGAGATTGAACTGCTGGCGGTAGTCTGGGCAGTCCACAAGGCTAGACTGTTCCTGGCCGGTGCTGATTTCCAGCTGCTAGTCGATCACAAGCCGCTCATTCCTATCCTGAATGCTAAGACGCTGGATGAGTTGACGTCTCCACGAATCGTGCGACTACGGGAGAAGCTGACGCCTTTTCGGTTCGTGGCTCAGTGGAGACCGGGTGCCGATCACAAGGTCGCAGATTGCCTGTCGAGACACCCAGTAAGTGCACCAGACCCTGACGATAAAGCTGGTGAGGAAGAAATCGAGCACTGCTACTGTGTTCTCCGTCAGCTGTCGCAAGAGGACGAGGAAACAGGCCATACAGTCCTCCCCGACCTTGGCATTTACGAAGGTGCGGGCGGAGGGCACGACGGACCCGGAATACCTCAAGCTGCTGAACGCCGTAAAGAACGGCTTTCCGGTGGACAAGGCTGCTCTGGACCTCGATCTGCACCCGTACTGGCAGGTTCGGCATGATCTGTCGGTCGAGGACGGCATAGTGTTGTTGGGCCACCGTATTGTGGTTCCCAGAAGGTTACGCCAGACCACGCTGGAGCAACTTCACGCTTCTCATCAGGGACAGACCCGCACACTCCGCAGGGCCAGGCAAGCAGTGAACTGGCCCCAGATCTCCAACGACGTTAAGAACGTCGTCCAGACCTGCAGATCCTGCGTCACGCTGCTCCCCTCCCAACCTTCTGAGCCGCTCCTCTCTGACAGTCGTCCGTCCAGACCGTTCGAAGATGCAGCGGCGGACCTCTTCTCCCTAGGCGGCTTTGAGTGCCTGGTTCTCACCGACAAGTTTTCCGGCTGGCCATTTGTTGGGCGTTGTGGGAGGTCGGCTACCACGTCTGACGTCACCAAACATCTCGTTCAGTGGATGTCGGACGTTGGCGTTCCTACGCGCCTCACGACGGATGGTGGGCCGCAATTCAGATCTTCAGCGTTCGCTTCGTTCTGCTCAGAGTGGAACATGTGCCACGACCCCAGCAGCCCGTACAATCCTCAGTCAAATGGCGCGGCTGAGGTGGCGGTAAAGGCCATGAAGCACTTGTTAATGAAAATTGGCAAAGGTGACACCTATAACAGCAGTGCCTTCAGAGAAGGGTTGCTGGAGTGGCGTAACACGCCGGGTGCAGGAGAAGCAAGCCCGGCCCAGCTGCTGTTTGGAACGCCAACGAGGACCAAGGTTCCCACACGTCCTGCAAATCTGCAGCAGTACGCTGCCCACAGCCGCAGCGCTCCCCAGCAGGTCTCATCCCAGCTTGGCAAGCCTCTTCCCCCTCTGCATGTAGGCGATAAGGTATGGATCCAGAACCAGTCTTCAAAACGCTGGGATATGGAAGGAACGGTCACAAAATGCACGAGAAGAGAACGGAGCTACACAGTGCAGACAGTGACGGGGTCCAGCTTCTGGCGGAACAGACGGTTCCTCCGGCCACGTGCATAGATTGACTGGGCATGCTTCTCTTGCTTTTTCCTTGTTGCTTGTGCGCTACGCTGTGATTTTCGAATTTCAGTTTCAGGATTTTCTTTGTGTTAGTGCTCCCAAGTCGCACTTAAGCCGAGGGGGCATGTGGTGATATTATAGCACCTTTCCCTGCATGGGTCTTGGCACTCAGGCTGCTAGTGCTACTGTTCGCACCCTAGGCCCTGCACTGCTGTACCTCTGGCGCCTTGCGCATAACACATTCACATGTCACCTTTCAAGCCGCCTTTGCAGCCAGCTTCCCTTTAAAAGCCATTGCGTTTTACTGATGATTTATTCTCATCTTTCGAAGAGTTGGTCTGCCTTGAGCAGGACACAACATCGGCTTCGCCTCGGTCCTTTACTCGGCTTTTATTTCCTATATTGACCTCGTACTCAGTCGATATTATTATTTTTTTTCGTACTCAGTCGATATTATAATATATTACTTCACACATAGCAAAGGTGCAAACTTCGCTTTTTGTACTTGCTGGCTGCTGTATTTCTACCTGAAACCATATTAGCTACATTATAACTACTTCGAAGTATAAGTGTGTGTTTTAGTTATTGCATTTTTATGTGATGGCGTTCCACTGATGGAAGTTAGGCCCTGGCGGATAATGCTCGAAAAGGTGGCAGATTCTGCTCGAAAAGCAGTGAAATTGGCAGAACCATACAAACCTTATGGCGTGCAGTTCCTCGAATTCTGCTCCATTTCTTTATCCACATACCACACATGCATGAAACTTACCAGACAAAGTACCGAATTCTGCCAATTTTTCTGCGGCATTATCCGCCAAGGCCTAATGGCAGTCACTAGCAAACGTTATGGAACTTGACTTTCTTCATTTTTTGCTGTTATGAGTGCACAATTTATCTTATTTATTGCCATTTTACGACTATTGTCTCCTCGTCGATTGTCATAATAATAATAACTTTATTAGGATGACCCATAGCATGGGGCATGGACGTGTACAGTAGATAAATACAGAAAATGTGCGACAAGACACTTTCGAATAGAGGGGGGAGGTAGGGGGGTAAAGTCTATTCGAAATGCGTTACGTTTGAGGAATAAATGCGAACTTATGAGATGCTCCCTAAGTAACGCTTTGGTGAAAAGTTTGGATTTCGCTACGGCAAAAAATGTGAGCGAAACCTCCGCTTTCGCGGATCCGATGTGGCGGAACGTCCATGGTGATGGCTTTGGTGTGTGCTACTTCTGCAAGTTCTGGCACTGAGTTCTGGTGTTGTTTGGTTGCCGCTTGGTATTTTCATTATTGAATTGTTCTTCTTTGCCAATGGTACTGTACGTTCTGGAGATCTCGCAAACGATACTGCATCGCTATGATTGGATATTTGGTGAGGGAATCCGTCTCCCAACTCCTCGATCCCGATCGCAGACGAGATGGGACGACGTTTCTCTCTCCAAGCAATGCGTCCACCAGAGTGCGCAACACTAGGACTGCAACCAGGGACTAGTAGTAGTAGTAGTAGTAGTAGTAGAGTTCTCTGCCACACCCTCACTGCAACTACCGGCATCCACGCAGTCGCTGGGGTCGATGATGGATCATGGAGGAGGCCAGGACACCCTGCTATTCAACTGTTTGAAGTATTTGATATCGATGTAAAGTTAAGGTGGCAGACTACCCAAAAATTCGCTGAAAATTCGAATTTGTAAATTCATATTGAGTGCTACGTCAGTTGAAAGAGCATGAATAGCTGCAAATTCTCTGAAAATTGTGTCCCGATCTGACCGGCCGTTCAAGAGTTATGGCCGAAAATGTGCCCTTGCAAGGAAAGATTTTTTGTTGTTGCACGCTGTCATTTGTTGGCAGCACTGTATTTGAATGTGAGCAGACCGTGCGCAACTTGTCGTATAATGGAAACACGCGAAAGTGTGCAGAATTTTGCTCCAAGTCCAAAAAATCAGGTTTTTGAGCCACATATTGGGCTGCACGGCGGCGGGCGAAGCCCGCCGCCGTGCAGCAGGACTTTTGCCAGCACCCTCGTGACGTTGCAGATATGTGGCTTGATTATTGTAGTTGACGTTGATTTAGTGACTTAGGCAAGTTTGAGTCGTGTCAAGAAGTCAGGTAGGATTCAGTACTAGGCAGTAGTGAAACGTGAGTGGCAGTCTTTGCCGGTTTCTGAGGGCATCCTGGATTTGGTGTGCAGCGCTGTGGAAATGGCTTGCTGTGGAGGTCCCAGCACTGGATGTTGTATCAAAGGTACGACCTCGTAGCACGTGCTAAACCTAAAAGAATTCAAAAATTGACTTGGGTCTGTGGGAGTCCGCGAGAGAACGCCCACTCGTTCCGTTGTGACAGATTCCAGGGCCACGTTGAGGGGCCCTACCCCACCACCCATGGCTGCTTCTGGACTTGTTTTAGGTTTGGGTCCCACGCACGGACAGAATGGGCACGAAAATGTGAAAAAAATGTAAATGCATTTGTTTGGCTCCTGGGTGGCTTGCACACCGTGGCACTATGCCGGAAATTTGAGTTTTTCCGGCCTGGAAAGCCTGTCAGTGAGGCGCAAGAACTTGTAAATCATGTCCTGAGGGCCAGCATAGTGGCAGGAGTGTGTGGTCAAAATTTCACTCAAATCCACTGAGAAACACCAAAGTTACGGTCAACTGAATGCCATATGAAATTTATGGGTAGGTGGCCCCCTTAAATTAAGTAGTCGGTACTGGGCCGCAATGAACGTGCCCCAAATCCTCGAGTGTACTTGACTGGAGACATTCAGCAGCATGCGCAGCCTGTCACTGTCAGTGTCAGCGATCCACGATGGCTCAAGCGAAGGTCGCTTCAACTCGGACAACTAATAATAATTGTTACATGTACTTGTACTTGAAACATCTAAAATTTCATAGTACTTGTAGACCTACATGTACATGTGTGGCTGCTGCATTTGCATTCCCTACGCCAAACAAAGCGGAGCGTTCAGGAACAACACAGACTACCTAGTACCTGTGCTGTACATGTATCAGTATGTGTGACTGCTGCATCGTGTGTTCTGCCACAGCGGCTGCTGTAGCTACGCTTTTGGCCTCCGCAAAAGGGGTGCGAACGTTTCATGTTGGTTGGTTGGTTGGTATATTACTTGGCCAGAATGAACAGGCATTTCTGCCTTCTTGCCTGGACAAGTGGAATGTCCAAGCTCTCACAAAAAGACGAAGAAAGGAAAGAAATATTACATGAGAGTGTGAATAATATAATAATAATGACAGTTCGCATATCACTCATTGTATGAGGTCAACGCATATGTTAACAATTCCGAGCCAAGCAGCTCTATCAGAAGCAGATTGCACTTAATGCGTTGTAAGTCTTTCTTGACAACGTCGATCCATCTCAGACGTGGTCGTCCTCGGGGTCGTCGTATGTCTGTTGTGTTGATTGACATTAGGAGGCCTTAGAAAGAGGACGATTCTTCGCCTTCCCTCACTACATGGCCCTACCACAGCAGTTTCCGTTGCCTGCAGACTAATGAAAGTGGGGTCTGCTCGGTTCTGGCATACAGCGCTGTGTTCGAGATTCGTTGTGGGTACGTGATACCAATGATGGTACGTAGCTTCTTCCGGTGCCATACATTGACGACGTCGGTTAATGTTTGCGATAAGGTCCAAAGCGCCCAATTATACAGCAAGACAGGCAATATCAGGCAGGAAAACATATACAGCCTGGAATTCAGGTTGTGGCGTTTCCATGGAATGCTTGCAAATGCCCGATTTGCAGCAGACACTCTGACTGCTATGTAGGTGTTGGCGGATAATGCCGGCATTATATCGAGCATTATACACCACCCGGAGCATTACGAGCATTATAAAGCATTACGAGGCCAAAAATGGCATTATACGACGTTCTACATGACTGCATAGTAGATCGACACACATCCTCATGTACAGATTCGTATCGGATAGCGTTGGTCTTTGATTGGCAACATTTATTACTATACGCGATGTATTACTATAGTCTACAACTAATTTCGGTGGTCTATCACTTGTAAGTATTATTAAAATAATACTTAATACTTACAAGCGATAGACCACCGCACGCATCATGCATGGTACCAAACAGATCGTGGCACGCAGTGCCAGGCCCAGCATACTGCATGCAGTATACATGTACATGGTATAGTGCTAGCAAGCTGAGGTCCAGCACAGTGTGGAAACTCTCGCAGAAACTTCCGGTCCCGGAAGTCTATCTTCGGCCAGCAACTAACTACAAACTAGTTGCTTACTTTTTGAAGATCCAGGTAACAACGCCGAACCAACGAAACAAATGTGAGCCAGCATGGAACGGTGGAGGTGCGCACACGCACATATTCCAGACCTTACCCGGTTACCATGGTTACCGTCCACAATGTTACAAAAAACATTTTTCATCGAAGCAAGAGTCCATGTCTTTGTCGAAGAGTAACGCTGGACTTTCAGCGGACATTGACCATTGTGTAAGACCAGCTAACTAGCAGCCAACGCTGATGGCTGACTCGCCGCGATGCCGTTCTTGGGATTGGGAGGAAGCTGGGCTTTCTCCAGATGAGCTTTTGGCGGAGTCCTCTGATGATAGTGACGTCGTCGAGTTGGAAACTGCAGATCCTGCCGCGATAGCGAGGAAGCGGTCTTTTCAGAAAACAGCTATTACCAAGTCTGAAAATGTTTCCAAAAGGACGCAAATAGCTCATGGACAGAGCACTGAAGTGGCCATCCGAGTGCCGAAACACGGGTGCGGAGCCGCTCAAAAGCGACTGTGGCAAGTTAGTGTGCCTGGCATGCCATACAACATTGCCAGGGAAGAAGAGTATAATCATGTCCCATATTGCTACCGCGAGACACAAACAAGGAAAGTCTCGTTTGGAGAGGGAAACTCAGAGGCAGAAGCTGGTCAAGGAGTCCTTCTTGGCGTATCAGAAACGACTTGGGAAGGCTCTAGCCGGCACCGGTCTTACTAAGGCCGTCCGAGTCTCTGCAGCGGATCCAG